TAAGTAATTATATTTAAAACATTTAATTTTACAAATTGGTGACCCCCTGTCAATAACTTAAGAAAACTAAATTAATGCTTTGCGCTAGTCGATTTATAAACAACATGGCAGATATTTTGTTCTTGAAATCCTTACAATGAGTTGCACCCATTTTTGTCTCTAACTAAAGGTATAAGCAGTTTCCAAGTGGCACGTAATGATTTTTAAATTTCTTAAGTTATATGAAACAAGTCTGTACAAAAATTAGAATGTCCACTCTTAATGTTTAGTTTTTTTTTTTTTACATGTAGCGACCAGACTAATACAAACTTATGTATAAAAATGCATAAAAAAATAATAAAATGAACGAAAATGAAAAATGAGTTTTTAAAGAAAATAATTATAATAACTTATAACGTAATTTCTTCACAAAACTTCTTTACATTTACGAGACATTATGCAAAACTTTATGAAAAGTTTTGATATTAAGAAAAGACACTCTGCGTAATTAGACGTAGATTAGATCTCGGTAAGAATAAATTATACGTTTAATAACAGCTTGTTTACTTTTTCAAATGCTTTTTTTTTGTTAAAAAAAAACTATTAAATAATAATTTGCAGAACCAATGCGGTATGTATATTATACAACGTGGTATATAAGTTATTCATTATTACAAAACAAAAGGAGGTCCAAAACGATCACATTTTAATTCGTTTTATACATTTAAGACTATTTTTAAATATTTAGTTAGTTTTATTAGATTTTCAACATACTATACTTACATACTTGTAACGTACTGCTTTCTGCGAAATCAAGTTTTTGAATAATTTTTTTTTTCACGGGAGCAGAGAAGTTGTTTAGGGTATATAATTTTGCGGAAGGGAGGGAGGGGGGGAGGAAAAAGGACAATGTTTTGTTGTTATGCTACTGGTTTATATGCTTTTATGTTTATATGCTTTTGCTTGATTGTTAATATGTTTTAATGCATTAGTTTATTTCAGAAACGTTTTCATTGCAGATTTAAATCAATTTAATAAAAATGCAAAATAAGTAAAAAATGTTTGTTTATATGAGTGAAAATGGGTTTAATTTGACAAGACTTTCTTTCTTTTGATTAGACTCGGTTATTGAATATCAACTCAGCTGAGCGCTCTTAAACTATGGTATTTAATAAAATTATGGAATAATAGTTAGTTTGTTTTTTTTAATTGCTTTTAGTGATATATTTTATAATTTTTGAAAAATAATTTCATTAAGATATGCACAAGTTTCTGGTATAAAAACGTGTTCGATATTATCCCTGGGAGTATGGATTTAAAACAAGCGTTTAAATCCATACTCCCGTGTATTGAGACTCATAATTCGACAGATAAATTTCTAATTGGGCTAAAATAAACTTTATCTAAAAGCTAAAACCCTGACTGTAAGCATTGGTCTACTTTCAACTGCTGGAGTGTAAAAACATTTTTATTCGAAATTTCAAACATGTCTGAGCAAAACCATTTTGTTGGCACGACCATTGAAGCAGGTATTTTTGTTATTTGCTTCTCGTGTTTGTTGACATCTGACAATCATTTGTGATATATTCAATGATGTTTCTAACATATTCAGCTTTTTTGTCTTTATTACCGTGCATTGTAGAAGGCTCCTTGTGCATCTTTTTTAATGGAAACAATCTGCCTTTGAGGTCATTAGTAATTGTTGGTTTACTGATGATTATATAAAATTGTCTTAATATCTTTGTTTGGATGGCCACCAATGTCAGTTGACAGTTAGTTAAATGCTATTCTGCAATGCTCTGTGATAAGACCGTTAGAACTTCTAGGAGCGCCTAAATAACTAACATAATAAAAAACAAAAAGTGTTTTGATTTGATATTCGGTCAATTTTATTGAATTCAAAGCATACCTTTTCCATTGAAATTTTAAAATCTAAAAAACGAAATTTTCATTTCACTTAGCACATTCAATAACTCTTTTTTGGTCATATGATATACACAAAAAAACATAATGTTTTCTATTGTTGACAAATGTTGACAAAACATAATGTTTTCTATTGTTGACAAATATGTTGACAAACTGTGCAAATTGGATCTAGTTGTTCCAGAAGTGGATGTAAACGAATTTAGTAAAATAACCATTCTATAAATCACAATTTTTTTATTCATTCAAAATCTGATCTTGGATATACTGTGGCAGTTGTATTATCTTTGCACCATAGTTAATACAAGGATTTATAAACAACAAATAACAGTAAGTAAAAACTTGATGGATTGACTCAGCATAACTAACTTTTTTCATTGTTGCCTATACATTTTAGAGCGCGCTTTTACCTTTTTGAAATTAAAATAAATTTTTTCGCCGCTTTATTCTATTATTTTATGTTTATTAATTATATTTTATGTATTAGTATTAGCAGGTTAACAATAAAAAAATGGCGTTAATCTATAGAAACAGAATTGAATTTAAAGTAGAACTAGGTTGTGGTTTTGTTAATTATTAAAGTAATGGAGGAACTAAAACAAACTGATAACTGTTATACTATTAAATTATTGGCAAAAATAATTTAGTAAGTAAGCGCATAGATAATTATTGTTTTATTGTCTACCAATTTAAGCAGAATATTACATTGTTTTAGTTTTTATCAAGTAACCTCTTTATTTGATAAAAGTATAATCAAGCGAAAAGATTATGAATGCGCCCATTAATATGATCATATTCATAACTTAATTAAAATTAATCTATATTTAACAAACAACAATTTATAGATTATTGGAACTCCTACTAAGGGATTGTCCATAAAGTACGTACGCTCGGAGGGAAGGAAGGGGTCTGCAAATTTAGTCGTTAAAACAAAAATTTAGTTAAATTTTTAAAATGAATAAAATAAAAAAAACTATGCTTAACACATCATAATGGACTGGAAATAGCTTGACCAATCAGGAACAACCATAGGTTTGAGCAAAATTTCTCTAATTTTATGAGCTGATAGGTTCTTGCAAGAATTGATTTGCTAACCTAATCTTTCCACTCAAATAGTAAACCATATTTATAGCGTCTGTATTTATATTTTGAAACATCATGCTAAATCATCTAGTAACTTGGTATTTTTATCTCTTTTCTTTGTAACGTTTAACACCTTTTGCACTTATGATTTCTTTTTTTCTCACAAAAGAGTCTAAATAAAGTATCCAAAAAAATGCAAATGCAGGAATTTTAACAGATTTCATTTTTTACTATCAGAAATTAGGTATTTACAATTTAAAATATCAAACAGTTAACCCAGTTTTAACGTAAACTCAATTTTTTTAATTTTCTTTATTTATTGAAATGAAAAAGGCAACTATTCAGCTTTATAATTTTGTCTACAATATTAGTCTATTGAGAGTTTTTTTATTCAGTCTAGTCTATTTAGAACAAATAACAGGAGCTTGTCACTTGTTACTAACGCAACTTGTTACCCGTTTTAAAATTTAGCATAGTGAATTTTAAACTTATTTTAAAAACTTTTTCTAAATTGTATCTTTTTCTCATGGTCATATTTTAACTAACTTTTCTTTATTAAAAAATACTCCACACACCATTACTGGATCACTTTGTTTTTATTTTTTGCAGGTTTTTTATGTACAAAAACTCTCCAATCTTTTTTCCCAATTATTGTTTCCCAATTATGGCTTCCTTAAAACAACTTGGCAAGTTAAAAGGTGATTTAATAGCTGGAATTATAATTGAAATAATGTTCGTCTCGCAAAGCATTCCTTTTGCAAACGTAACTAGGCTTCTAATACAATATAAAATTTGGGTAATTATATTTTATTTTTGGAACCACAAAAAGTAAAGCACACAAAGCAAAAACAAATTTTTTAGAGACTACATTCAAAGGTAGAATTTATCTAACAGTGGGTTATCTAAGACAACATCTGCCTGGTTAACTCCTATGGAGCTTTAAGCGTGAACAACTCCAATGAGGATCTAATTTGTGTTGTCAACATCATGACACATAACACTGATAAAAATCTTTTCAACAGTTTTATTCAGATTCATTCCATTCCTTATTTTTCCTAGTTTTTCATTCCACTATTATCCTTACTTAGAACTTTAATATTCTTAGAGGAGCAATGATGTAATGAAAGTAATGCAAATACCTCAAAATTTATAACTACTTGAGAGTGCGGTTTGAACAAAGAAATTTGATGATGAAGGCGCATAACTAACACAAAATTAAACTGTTTAAAAACAAATGAAAGTTATAAAATATTTGTATCAATTTACAACTGGTAAAAATCTTAAAAAATACCGCAACGCTATATAAAGATTTACATTATCTAAATAAAGTATTTCTACAAAAGCTATCCTTTGCTTTTGTTTATAGTTATTTGGTTTACTGTAATTGGTAGGTTTTTTCTAATCATGCAAAACTCTACAACAAACAAAAACGTGCGTGAAAAGTATTATTTGTAGCCCACAGAACTACTCCTTGTAAAGTATTTCTATATATAGGTTAAACTATTTTGTAAAACTACAATTAAGTGTTGTCGGAGGGTGGTGTGGGTGATGTGGGGGTGTGAGATGATAAATTAAAACTTAGATTTATGGCTATTTAACACAAAATAAATTTTAATTTCATTCGGATAATTGTATTATTTGATTAAGGTACCAAGTTGAAGAACCTTGTTTTTTTTTAAAGTGACAAATGAAAGGATTCTTATGTTATTGTATAATAAAATTAACCAGTATTAAAATCTATCTTATATATATATATATATTTATATATATATATTTATATATATATATATATATATATATATATATATATATATATATATATATATATATATATATATATATATATATATATATATATATATATATATATATATATATATATATATATATATATATATATATATATATATATATATATATATATATAACACAATGGGTATATTTGTATGTAATATACATTGTTGTATATCTATATATAATGCGCATATTTATACATTAAATTAATTTTTTTTTAGATGTTTTTTCGGAGTGAAAGCAAACGATTTAATTTTTCAAATTTTTCATGTATGAAGACTCTCCAATCTTTTTTCCCAATCATTGTTTGGCTTCCCCAATACAACTTGACCAAGTTAAAGGGTGATTTAATAGCTGGCATTACAGTTGGAATAATGGTTGTCCCGCAAGGTATTGCTTTTGCAAACGTAGCTGGGCTTCCTATGCAATACGGTTTGTACTCATCGCTAACACCTGGGTTAATATATTGTATTTTTGGAACATCAAAAGACGCAAATATAGGCCCTACGGCCACAATGGCTTTGTTTACAAACAAAATAAACACAACAAGAAGTCCAATAGGAGCTTCTTTGTTAGCGTTTTGGTGTGGTGTTGTATTAACAATTCTCGGAGTTTTTAGACTAGGGTTTGTGACTAAGTTTATTCCCTTCACTGTAATTAGCGCGTTTGTTTCTGCTGCTTCCATAACTATTGCAATATCTCAATTTCCTAATTTGTTAGAAATTAAAGGTGCACCTACAACCTCATTTTCAATTCTTAATTATCTCACACGGAAAATAAAATTAACCAATAAATACGATGTAACATTAGGAATAATATGCATAATTTACCTTGCATTTTTTTTGTGGTTATCGAAAAAAAAGATAAAAAAGTCGGCTAACCGTTTTATTAAAGCTCGTATAATTTGTAATAAACTTTTGTGGTTTGTGTGTTTGGCTAGATTAGTTTTAGTATGCGTGTTTGCAACAATTGTTGTGTATATATTTCATATCTATGGACAAGATGGAAAGTTTACAATTTCTGGATATTTGCCGAAAGGAATGCCAAAATGGAAGGTAAAAGTAATTAATGTTTATACATTTAGTCTTAAATCTTTTTTTTTTGTTTCTTTTTTTTCAAATTGGAAATGATCTTATAACAATATAAACATACGGTAATACATTTTTTATTGTTTTGCTTTTAATAAAATTTAGAACCCTTTTTCAACTGCTCAAATAAATAAAAACAAAACCATGTCTGCAAGCGAGTTTTCACGAGATTTCGGTATATCTATCATAGTGTTGCCAATGATTCAATTTATTGAACAATATTCTATTACAAAGGGATTTGGTCGTAAATTTAATTATAAAGTAAGTGCCCGACAAGAACTAATTGCAATTGGTATGTGTAATATAGCTGGTTCATTTTATGGGGGCTGGCCTGTAGCAGGTAGTTTTTCTAGATCAGCAGTAAATTCAATGAGCGGATCTCAAACGCCGATGGCAGGTATTTACTTTAAATTTGTATAAAGAAAATGCCAATTCATTTACATAACTTATCATAATTTATTTAAACCCATCATAATTTATGCAAACTCATTAACTACTCGTTCAGAAATAAAAGCGAAATGTTTTTCTTGTCCATAGATTGCCAGTCGAATAAAAAAATCAAAACAAAAACAAAGTAAACAATTAGAGTAAAAAAAAAAAGCGTAGATAATTTCTTGAAAAATATGCAATATAAAAAAAAAAAATCTTAAATAATAATATTAAAGAAATAAGTGACCATATTAAAAATGTTTTGAACATATCCGGCTTTAAAAAAAATAGTGATTCAATTATTGAATCGTTCGTTTAATATATCGTTTAATATTTAGTATTTTATGTTTTTATTTTTTAAAAGCGTTTGGCACTGTAGAACATGCAATATAACAGACAAAAGTGCGTTATTACTGATGAAAATTTGTTTTCAGTTCCTTAAGGTTCGATTCTTGCTCATCTTTTGTTTTGAATCTATTTAAATGATTTTCCAAAAGTCACTAATAAACAAGTTATAATGTTTGCAGCTAAGACAAGTTTATTTTACTCTTCAACAAATATTAATGACTTTTATAAAAATATAAACAAAGACATTCAAAAATTTTATAATAAAATAAAATTATATCGTTTAAAACAAATAAGTTATCATCAAACATAGAAAAATAAAATCCAATTTGTTCCATTCAAATCAGCAAAGAAACGCATACCAATATTATTGTATAATAGCATTGCTAAAAAATTAAAAAAAAAAATTATCGAAAGAACTAAGTTTTTAGGAGTGTTAATTGATAAAAATATTTCTTGAAAAGTACATACAAATGCATTAAATACTAAAATATTAAAAAGTATAGGTCTACTTTATAAGGCAAAGCCTATGTTGTTCTAAAATAATTTAAAACTTATACATTTCTCTATTTCTACATTTTTTTTTATACTTATCTACCTCATATACGCGAATAAAAATTTGGGCGAGCGCGCATATTAAAAAGTTTAAAATACAAGTGTAATATTTAAAAAAATATTTTTAATTTTTTCATATTTTAATACTATATAAATAGCATGGTTAAAAAAACAGAAATTTTGACGAATTACAATGAGTTGCAGCAAATTAAAATAAACTGTAGTTAATTAGTACAAGTAGTGACTTCATGAACGAAAATTTGGACGAACTACAATGAGTTGTTGCAAATTAAAATAAATTGTAGTTAATTAATGAGTTGTAACCTAACTACGTTATGTGATTAATGATATAAAAAATTTATTTTCTACTAGGTGGTCGTCACTGTCTAATAAAAAGGGGGTTAAAAATAATTTAAAAAAATGCGAGACGAAATTTATGGACGACTCCAAAGCAATGATATGTAACAATAGAGATGTCGAATAAATGCTGCAATGCTTATCGTAAAAAATAAAGACAAAATAATAAAACCTATTCGTTAAAAAAAAAATTAAATAAAAAAAAAAAAAGGGGATGGGGGGGAAGCAATTTATCCGTTGAGTTTTTATCCGATCGTTTTAATGAATTTTAAAACATAATTAAAAAAATCTTATAGTAATATAATTGCATCAAGTTAAAAAAAATTGGTAGAGGTAAAATAAAATGTAAAAAAAAAAATGGTAAAATAAAAAGTAACTGAAACGATAAAAGGGGCTGTCCATTAATTACGTCAACAAAATAGGGGGAGGGGGTATGGAAATCTTTAACAATTTTTGACAAAGGGGAGGGGGAGAAGGTCAAAAAAGTTGACGTCAATAACGTTACTTTTTTAAAATGAATTTAGTTACTTTGTTACTAGTCATGGATACTTAGTTGGTTACTAGTCATCTAGTCATCTATTCATCAAAACGAGACTATCACATACCAGGTCCAGATGGCCTGCCACTTGCAATCGAAGTTGCTCAGTTGGAGAGAGATCTTGGAGTTCTTATCTCAAATGATCTTAAACGTAATGCTCAAGTTTTAGCAGCTGCGGTGAACGCTAACCACTCCTCAGAGAGGCTGAAAAAAACTATTTGCAGCCGTAGTTTTTCACTGTGGAAAGAAGTGTATACCACGTATGTTCGTCCTCACCTAGAGCACCTTACCAACGGGCAGATATAGAAGCACTAGAAAAATTTTAAAACGCTGAGCAGCGAAGAGTCATGTTAAGTCTTACAACACTTACAACACAAGACAACACAAGCGCATTTTTTTTAAGTTATTCTTCGCAGAGCTTTATTTTGGTATTTCAAGAGCGAAAGTTTTTTCAAAATATAGCATCGTTAACTTTTTTAGAGATAGGAAAGATTTATTTTTGTTTTTTTTTATGGTTGAGATATTTTTTTAATGGATAAGTATAGTCCTTGAAGATACAATTTTATTTTATTTTTTTTTTGCGATTATTTTTTTGTTATTTTGTGTTTTTTTGAGCTCTATTAAAAAAAGCTCATCTTAGGAAACTGGTTTCCTGAGATGAAATGATGGGTTTGTTGAAGATAACGCAATTTTTGGTATGAAGATTTTTTTTAAATGAACTATTCATTTATATTCTTTAAGAGGAAAGATTAAATTATCATTATTCTTAAATATATATATATATATATATATATATATATATATATATATATATATATATATATATATATATATATATATATATATATATATATATAAATTTAAATAAATTTATAAACCAATTAAAATAAATATTAAAAGAATGCCTGCCCGAACCTAAACTCTCAGTAGATGTTTGTACACCACATTGCGCCTACCCCTATTTAAGTCAGTTAATGCATATACACCCGTACGGAAATTTTCCATGGAAAATCTATGAAAAAACCCATGGAATTTCCATGGGTATTTGGAATGCGTTTCCATGAAAGAGCCATGGTTTCTCCATGAAATAAACCATGATTTTTCCATGGAAAAATCATGGTTTCTCCATGAAACAACCATGGGTTTTTCATGAAAAGGTGTTTCCAATACTCCTGAAAATTCCATGGTTTTTCCATAGTAAAATAACGTGTTTAGTTTTCAATTTCTTTGAAATCTAATGTTTTTTCAATTTTCATATAAACCATAAAACGCAAATTTTATCATGCAACTCGCTAATATTATTGGGTTGTTTTAATCTATGTGATCGCTTTCGCGGAATAAAATCCATAGTAGGGGTGTTCAAAGAAAATTTCGAATACTCAAGAAGCTAAATATTGGGCAAATATAAAAAAATTACAATTACAAAACAAACAAAAAAATTCAAAAATATTGACATTTACCTTGTACTCAAGCGGCAAAATATCCCGAAAAAAGCCCCTCATAATTCCCTAGTAATATGGCTTTGAGCGAAAGGTAAATCTCAATATTTTGTCAATTTTTTTTTCTAATGTGCTTATAATGGTCTAAACTTATTTTTAGATTGTTGCGTATCCTGGTTTTGTCATAATTGTTGTTTAAAATAGAAGATTTCGCAAAATTTTTACAAAAAAAAAAAAAAACTTTTTTGCTATTTATATATAAAATAACTATTTGCGCAAAATTATTTTTTGCAAAATCTTGTTTTAATTTAAACAACAATTATATATATATAAAAAAAAAACAGGATACACAACAATCTAAAAAAAAAAAATATGAATTATTATGAGAAAAAAAAAATTTACAAAATATTGAGATTTACCTTGCGCTCAAAGCCAAATAATTTTGGTACAATTTAGGCCATTTTTCGGAGTAAACGTCAATATTTTTGGATTTTTTTTTTGTAATTATACTTTTTTTATATTTGTCTCAAATATGTTCTTCTTGTGTATTTGCGTTTTGAAATTTTTCTTTTTTGAACATTCCTCCTCCACAATGCCTATCCCTTTTTAAGTCAGTATAATTCACTGCTACTACATCTAAATCAGTCGATTTATGTATTCATTGATGAACTTATTCTATGAAATATTAAAATATAAAAATAAATAATAAGCGTAACTAAAAATAAACAACAACAATAGTTTAAAAATATAAAACTACTTGGAAATACAACATTAAAAATAAAAGTAAAAAATTTCCTACATAAGGATTTGAACCATCAACCCTGACAGCCGCGCCTCAAAAGAAAAAGATTTAAACACCCATAGCGCTATATCAATTACCTTAAGAAAAATTAAAGTATATAAACATTTCCCGCGCACAAATAAAGTTTCTAAAAACCTTATTTGTACGCGCTTTCAAAAAATGACTTTGTTTTAAAAAAATAAATTATTTAAATGTTTTTTTTTTAAAGTTAAAATAATATTCATAATAATATGTAACTATTATAAAAAAATAATTTTGATTGGGTTTTACATTTATTATACTAATTTAGAATTTTAAACTTTAATTGTTCTTAGATGCATTTTCTTTCATTGTAGTAGTAATTTTAATTATTTTTAGGTGCATTTTCTTTTGTTGTGGTGGTAATTGCACTTGAGTTATTGACACCTGCATTTTACTATGTACCAAAATCGTCTTTGTCAGCCATGATAATAATGGCTGTAATAATGATGGTTGAAACACGTGTACTGAAAAGTATTTGGAAGTTATCAAAGTGGGATTTATTACCCTTTTTAACTACTTTTTGGCTCTGTTTTTATAATTTAGAGTATGGCATACTTGCAGGGACTGGGGTATCTATACTTTACATAATAGCTAGAGAAGCTTTTCCTAAATATTACATCAATAAAGACGAACAAAACGGTTCAATTACTATAATGCTAAAAACAAACTTGACATACCCTGGTTCAGAGACATTAAATAGAAAAATCCATTCTGTTGTTCGACAAAGTCCTGGAGCTAAGATTCTGTACCTTAGCTTGTCCAACACGTCATACATTGATTTTTCAGTACTCAAAGCTTTTGAAACATTACATAAAGAATTGTCTGCGTTATCAGTGAAGCTTATTTTTATAGAAGTTGCAAGTGATTTTATGAAAATGCAAATAAATAATGTAGGAATGAACTGCGGTGTAAAAAATTCATTTACCGAAGGTTGCCAATTACCTCCAGAAAGTTGTCATTTATCACCAGAAAGTTATCATTTATCTCCAGAAAGTTGTCATTCATATTCAGAAAGTTGTCATTTATCTCCGGAAAGTTTTGATTTAAATTCTAAACTTTCAGAGCCCAGACAGGAAATATTAAAAACGTCAATGTTAACACGTTTTTTTCGGTTTGTTTCAATACTTCCAAAAAGAAAACATGAAAATAATCAGGTAAATCTATATTTTGATAAACGCAATTCATATAGTAAAAAAAAAATGTATTATATAATTTTGGCAAAACTCATATTTCTTTTTTTTATATTTAGGCAATCATGTTGAAAGAAGACATAGGTACAAATTTATAAATATGTATTAAAGTTGTAAATTGTAAAAATATTTTATCTATAACTACGATTAAGTTATTTTTTTCCGTTGAAAAATAAACTTTTTAAAACTGCTGCAAAAGTAAACTCTTAGTTTATGCAAGAAAATTGATTAGAAATTATCTTTGAATATTTATATAGCGTTACGAGGCATTGACACAGGATTTTAACTTTTTTGTTTTAGTGATATTTAAAGCTATATCTTTAATGTCAGCTATAGCTATTGTCATAGCAAAAAGCTTGTAACTATTAGTAACTATTTGTAACAAGTTTGTCGCCATTTATTTATTTTACAACAAACGATAAATTTGAATGCAATAATGCATGCAATAAAATTCAATAAATTTTTGTTTGTAACGTATTTTATGCGATGTCTCCTTAAATTGTGATATCTTAATTAAGTTTAATATTTTCTTAATTTGGTTATTATTATATTATATTGAAAAAAATTTTAAGTATTTAAAAATATTTCTTGTATAAAGAAACTAATTTGTTTTGAAAAACTAATTTATCGCTTGAAAACAATGAATTTAAGCACCTTTAATCGCTTGAGCACCTTTAATCGCTTGAGCACCTTATAATCGCTTGAGCACCTTATAATCGTTAATTGCTTAAAGACTACTTATCAAATTTTTTACTTATCAAATTTTTTTATTCACTAATGTGCTTTTGTTTGATTCTAAAGGTAATAAGTATTGGTTATAATTGTTCTTGGATTAAAATGAATAAGCAAATATTAAATTATAAAAAATTTTTGAAATTTTTTTTTCAAAACTTTTTATAGTCACAAGTTGACATTTCCAAATTGACAGTGTTTCTCGAAACTCAGTTGGTTTTTTTTTTTTTTGCGGCGATATAAACAGACTCAATCAAAGAGACGCTGGAAGTAGAGAAAAAAAAGGATTTTAAGGTGGCAGTAAAGTGGGAAAAAAAATTTTGATTTTTTTAAATACAAAATAGCATAATTTATGTTTATCATTAAGTGAAACTTTAAAAGCTTGCATAAATGTGCAATAAAGAAGAGACTACAATAATTTGCATAATATATATATTTTGAAACCGGGTGGTAACTAGAAGCATATTTAGCAGTTGACCGAATAATCGTTTGACAAGAGTTTAGTTAGTTAACTTTATCAGATTTCACTTAAAAAATACATCTATGTGAGTTTGTGTGATGATGGTATTAAGCGAAACAATGTTTTGAAATTTTAAAATCAGGGGTTAAAATTGGGGAAATATTATTTTTTTCTAAATTTATTCAAAGAAATTAAATTTCAATATCTGACCCATCTACCACAAAAAATGAAAAAATGAGAAAAATTTCATGAATTTTTTCTGACTAAATAAAGGGTAATCCTTGCCAAAACCTTGGTGTACCCCGAACAGAAAATATTTTAGAAGTCCTTGATTTTTAATGGCTCGTTATCTAAAAATTCACAAAAATTTCTCCACTGGCTGGAGTTGTATCTATAGTTAAAAAATCGTTTGAAGAAAAATAAAAGTTATTATAAAGCAGAGTTGTTAACAAGGCCAAAAGTAGCAAGACCAAGGCCAAGACCACAAGTTACAACTACATTTTGTAAAAATAGACCAAAATTATGTGCAGAATTCAACTAAATCAATAAAAAGATATGTACTTTTTTTGGCTAAAGCCAAAACAATCAAGGCCAAGGCCAAAGTATTCAAGACAAAGGCCGAGGCTAACATACTCAAAGCCAAGGCCAAGGCCTAAATTTTAGGCCTTAAGGCCAGGTCAAGTCCAATTGAAGGCAAACCCCTGTTAGTAGCAGAGAGATTTTGCCAGAAAATTTAAATGCAGTCATACTCTGAAGGAAAAGTACTTAGATCTTAGGAATATAAAATATATTATAAAAAGAAAACTCCAAAGCCATCAATTGATAGAGAAATTAAAGCCATTTTTTGTTCAAAAAAATATAAAAACTTTTTAACCGAGGAAACTTGTGCATAATTGAAGATGATGAAACCGATTGCAAAAAGATTTTTTACAATTGCCAAGCCAACACAATTTACATCAGCTGTAAAATAGATATTTAGCCTAAAAAATTTAAGTATATTCAAACTGAAAACTTAATTCCCAATTTTCTAACATAGCAAGCAATCTGCTTTTTTGGTTTAAAAAATACAACATACAATACTCGTTAAACTTTGAACGCAGATTTACATACAAAAGAATGTTTGTAGATACGCTCTTTGCTATTTGTTAAAAAAGCATAATATACCCGCAGTATTATGGCCTGATTTATCTACAGTCCATTATTTCAAGAAGTTTCTAATATGATATGAATAAAAATTCCAATGTATTCGGAATTACCTTACGTACGTGGGGTAATTCCGAACACATTAAGGGGCAATCACAAACACTGTTGTGTAGTAACGAATGAAATGCTAATTTTATTAACTAAATGCAAAAACTATACTATGCAACAACAACAAAAAAAGGAGTAGTTTTATATCCATAGAAGCTACAACAGAATTTTACTCAAGAAAAATGTTGCATTAAAATTTAAAATCAAATTATAGTGAACAACATTCGCAGCTTCGTTACACTACTGTACGTCTGAAACTGAGCATGAGATCCCCTCTCAGCAGGTAAAAAGAAATTGTCAAATTTATTTTTCTATAATGCTGTTTTGACCATGTTCAGAGTTACCCCACGTTCGCCATTACCCCACTCTCCCCTATTCCATGGTTGAATATAATTTCATTTTTCATATTATTGTTATTCTAAAACTTTGCCTAATTGCAACTAAAATTTTATTAATTCCATTTTTTCGTTAGTAAAATTAAAAATGAGAGAGAAACGAAAGCATGGTACTTTAAAAATATTCTTTAGAAATAAACTTAAAACTGTTGATGAAAAGCAATAAAATTTGAGCTACAATGAGAATCAAAACAATGACCCTATTCTATGTTTGGAACAATGACCCAATTCCATGTCCGTGAAAGTAAAATCTAAAACATCAAATTGGTCTTCTATTTGGGATATAAATATGTGATCTGAGAAAAAATTTACATATCCTTGGATTGAATGTTCAGCTGAAAAATTAGGGTGTTTTACGTGAGCATAAAGTAAAAATATTAGCTCTTCTAAAACTCAAGGTGTTCAAATTTTAAAAGATGGTTCTCAATAAGTATTACATTTTATAGAAAAGAAAAAATGTTGACCGTCGACCTTAATATAAAAAGGTGCTTTAAAGTTGACTTTCGTGGTGCACTTGTGAGATCTAAAAAATTCCAACGTAAATGAGCGTTTTAGGATGTGGAGATAATAAAATAAAAATTTCTCAATTCAAAGACCCGAAGTTTTAACTTATCGAGCTTTGAAAAACCATCACAATGATCCGTCAATTTTTTTCGATTTTTTTAAATTATTATTTAACGAAAAATTATTTTCCCATAATGTCATTGGACTTTTAATTACAAATGGTTTGAAGACGAAAAAAAATTTTTTTTAAGTATCAAGTGAAGATTTCGTATTAACGTGTTGTTATTGTGTAAAAAATATCAACTTAATTGATTTATAGTTGATTTAGACAGCAGGGCTGATGACATTGATTTCAAAGTGAAAGGGAAAAACCTTCAATTTCTAAAAAGTGTTTAAAATAAAAAAATTAAAAAAATTATATTTAAAATTATTTATAAGCATAAGAGTTAAAAACTATTTACTAATATAATTTGATTTATTGTCATTCAAGTCTTCTTATAAGTCTGCTTCGTACTTGTCATAATAGTTATTGTAGACATCGTCGTAGACCATCATTGTAAACACCGTTGTCAGCAGCAGAATCAGTGTTTTCCCACTTTGTTTAGTCATTCTAATCGGAACACTTTAAAGTTGATTTATATATAATCAGCGTTTAGTTTCGCAACAAGTTAACCAGCTGTAAACTTTACGAAGTTCAGTACACTGTCTAGTACTAGTCAAGGTTAGCACTAGATGCATAAACCATTTAATGGTAACTCCTAATTCACTAATTAACTTTAATCACTCATAAGGTTACATCATACAATCATTCGACAATAAATTACTCATACAGTTGCATTTTGTCCATTATTTGTTTGCGTGGCAGCTTAACAAAGTAATCCAGCATCTTTTGTTTCCGCAAGACTTAAATGTTGCGCAAACCATTTTTATAGGATTTTATAGAAGTTTTTTTATTATTTAGTTCAAAACAATATGTTTTTTATGAATAATAACAAACAAATTATGTAGCTGTTATGTACTACCCATATTCCAAGTTCCTACTTTTTATTTTAGCCACCTCTTATTTCACCATGTCACAATGTGATATGGTGAAATGCCAAATCACATTGTATATAAAAAATAGATAAATATTTTTATAATAACTTATAAAGGCAATGTTTCCTGTTTTATTTAAATTACTAAATATTATTATAGCTGTAATATTCTTAACATACTAAGAAAAAAAGGTAATAATTTTCTAATATTGTAAACCATATTACGAAGTTGCCATGTCATGGCAACACAAAATATTCAAAACTGCATTAATATTTTGATCATATTTTCTCATTACTACAGAAACACTATACTTATATAAACAATTTTCTGAAAAAGAAGAAGCTTAGCAACCATTTTATGACTTCATAAGGTATTACTAAAACATTACCCAGCCAACATTGATTCAGGTACTGTTTGGGTCGTTAAATGAGACCCATTTGGGATGCCCTTCGGGATCCTGCCTAATTTTGAAAGTAGTTTTCATCTGGGGCTCATATGGGTTAGCCTGCCGGTTATTTTGTATGGGTCCCAACGAAATACCGTGCTATAAATCTGTAAGTACCCCATATAGATTTGAAACCAGATTCTGTATGAGAAACTCTCCAGAAACCCGCCAGGTTTTGCCTGTGGTTTACATGCAGAACCATGAGATTTAACCCGTGCGAGAACCAAATCAAATATTTCAAAACTACTTTTAAATGGTTTAACATATAAAAGATAAATTATATAATTTCATTTGTCAGTTTAAAATAAAAAACTATTAAAATTAA